CCCTAGCTGAGCTCCAAACTGACAACCACTATCATCTTGACAGTCACATTGGTACACATACTTAGAAATAAATCCTCAAGTCACTGAGTTTATTTGAGTCATTCTATGCTACATCATACAGAAACAAGCTTTCTCCTGTCAGAATTGTAGATTTGTAAAGAAAAATAAGTTAATATTATTGAAATGACCAATTAATGATTGTTTGTAACGCAGCAATAGAAACGCAGTTATGTGTCCTGGGATCAAATGGACTGGATGTGCCAACTTTCTCAGAATTGTGAGTTGATATTCTCATTGGTAGAATTCTAAGCACATTCTAGGCATTGACTAAGATTAAAGGAAACAGCGAGCAAAAAGTATATAGGAGTCAGCAATTAGTGAAAATCGATGAAAAGAAAATTGCTTGCCACAGAAAATGAATGAGGCCTATGAAAGTGACCCTTTCATAGGAAAAGAACTAAAAACTTGAAAAGAAAGTAAAAATCAGAACAGTAGAAGAAAAAAAAAAAAAACCCAGAAGGCAGACATCCTACATAGCCTGTTATTGAGTTCTTAGCACCTAACACACTGACACATAGAAAATATTCAGTGGATACTCATTAAATGAATGAATGAAAGGTCATGCTCAAAAAGCATACTTTACTGGCCAATAGATTTCATAAAATAATCTGTTTTAAATTGTTTGAAGTCTCAACGTGAGTTTTTCACGTTCAAAGCCTGTCTCGGATACTGGCTAAGCATTCAGTTTGTTTTGCTTTGTTTTGGCACAGCCACCATGGCATGGCTGTTTTGATGGTCTGACTATTTTGATGTATCCGAGTGTTAACACAAAACACAACAAAAGTGTTTTTCTTTACAGGTAATGCAAGTACTTACCTGCCTCTTAGATCTTCCCTGCATTTTCCACATTCATGAATGTCAGGACTACTATCTTGAGCACCACCCTGAACCTCAACTCATGCCTCCTTAATTGGTGACAGTCTCTGTCAATCAGAGGTGGCGTTTGTGGAAGCTAATTAGCCACTTGTATCTAGATTCTAGTACATAAACTATCAAAATATTTTTAAGGCACTTTAAGCATCTTAAGTATATCAATCAAGCTGTGACTCTAACATCCTCCGTACACTTTTTCTATCAGATGTTGGAGATAAAATCTAACAATAGATCATGAATTATGATATTCTAAGTGGTTGAGTAAATCTATTATTTTCTTCTGAATATTGGTCTTTATTAATATAAGCTTAGAATTCCACAACTGATGTTTTAATACCAGGCATTATAGTTTTCATTCTGATGTAAGATTTTTTTAAAAAAAGTTTTGAAGAGCTTAAATAGATAAAAATTACATTTTTCTCATCAAATATTATTGTTTTCACAGCTTTAAAAGTACTTGAAAAACTCAAATACTACCAGGAAATGTGAAAAACAGATAGTTTGCAAATCCTTAAAACTGCAAGGTGTCAAATGTTTTCCAAATGTATATATGCACTAATGGTAATAATGATTATTCCAGTAAAATATTTTCCACTTAAAATTTTGTTATTTTAAAAATTATTTGAATAATTGCAAAGTACAGAGTACTTTCCCATAGGTATGTAGTATCTCAAGAGAAGGCATTCTAATGATACTGCTCAAAACTATTCTGGCTCTACTTTCTCCATCTTACTAGCCTGCTAAAGCCAGTTCATTCAAAGTTATCTACACATGACTGGGTTTTTCAAAGTGTAGTTCATAACACTTTTATGTCATGCGAAATAAATTTAGTAACCAATGCTACCTCTATGATCAATAATAATAATATTTTGCATGTAGAATAAATAATAACATGAATTATAGTAATTGTAAGCACTATATGTGAATATAGCTTTATGACATTTTTGCCTCAAATGTGTGCATATGTGTAAATGTGTGTGTGTGTGTGTGTGTGTCCCTCCCATGTGTTCTTGAATTTATTTGTGTGAGTAACTGTTAAGAAGATTTGAAAGCTATTGTATCAGGAGTGATAGCACATTGAATTGGGTGTCTTCTCCAAAGTTACAATTAGACTACAGGGCAAAAACAAGAGTTTGCTAAGTCGAAATGTACTGATGTCCTTTGAAGTTTCTTGTTCTTAGAAAGGAAAGCTACTGCCACTTACTCTTAAACATGATTTAGTCTAACCATGCTATTTATGTACCTCAGATATTTAAAGAGACTATTTGCAGTGCTGCTTTGAAGTTAAGTGAGTCACAACTTCAATTTAGTAATCTTTAGACTAGTTATAAAGCTCTTGGAAGTGTAATCATGCTTCAAATATTTTCACCACCATCAAGATTGAAGTCAACCACTAGGAAAATTCCCAGAGTACAAAAGGGAAAGAGAAGCAAGCAAGTCATTGCAGCTCCTAGTCAAGGGTTCTAGTATGCTTTAGCTGGTTCAGTGTATCTGTTATTGCAAAAAAACGCAGAATTAAAGAGCAAAGGGCCTGCATAAATGAAAACAGCGACTGGACTATAAGAAGTGGCCAAATAAAAGTCACTAATGAGACATAAGACATGAAGTAAATGGGAAGGAGTTTATGAGAGAACAGAAGTTAAGAAACTTGGATAAACTCACAAATTAGAGTGTAAAATACAGACACTGAAACATATCTCGAAATAAAAGGTGCAGGTAAGATTTGAGGAACATATAACAATTACATGGATAAGTCTGCGATTATTCACTGACTTTTTGCCAGTAAATGCTAAATACTAAATGTGAGTCACTGGAAACACTGAAATTCTGACTTTAAGAAAGTTTTTCTAGAAATACTGTAGAAATATGAGCCAAGTGTACATAATACCACTAAAATTTAGCTACCTGCAGGCTAGTCTGAGTTGATGAAGTTTTCAAGGGAATGCCAATCAGTTAAACATCCAGTATGCGTTTGAAAAGCATTTTAGTTATACTTATTGTCTTAAAAATGCATATATAATTTACTATGAAATCCATTATACAATTTATTATAGGTAATACAAAGATATCAAATATTTCTTTTTCCTTTGTTTCAATGTTCAATCTCTTTTCCAATGTTAAAATATCTCTTCTTTTCTGTAAAGTCTCCAAAACTTCCCCTAAAGCAAACACACACTGTTTCCAATCGTCCTTTACTAGTTCATCTCACCTTTAGCTCTATTACTTGATTTTCTGATAGAGACTGTCTGTAGTTGCCTATTTAAATTTATCAACGGTGCTCCTATTTCTCTCCCCACCAGTATCACAGTTCTGTACAACATAGAGAGCTACGACTTAAGCTGATAAGGCAGATATTGTTTTAAATTGGATGTTAGACGTTAAGCTATGTATACTTATACATATTTCTTATATCATGTAAAAATACTAAAAACACAATATGAAAAATAACATAAGAAAATCACATACTAATATAAATACAGAGCATTGACAAAAATAAGGTTGGAAGAAAGCTGATTGATTCAGTGCTACATCTGCTAATTTGAGTTGTTGGTAAGATTCAAAATGGATATTTTCAATGAAGACCTTTATGTATTGACTAGAAACTTCAGAGAAAGGAGGCCATGGTTGAATTGTAATAGTTGGACTTCTAAGGATAGAGAAGTATCATCAACAGCACAAGTTGTATGAGATTGCAATGGATGAGAATTTTGCTGCTGAAGATCAAGTTTTAGGGCAGATACCTGAGAAACAACTCTATTAGGTGCATAAGACAAAGAGAATGAGTCAAGTTACAGAGGTCATGAGGAAAAGATAACTTCGAACAATGCTAACGACAGGTAATAAAAGAGATTAGGAAATAACAAATGCCACAAAGAGATCAAGAGATCCAGTGACACATAGAGCTATTGGATTTACATACTGAGGGTTACTCGTATGATATGGGTAAAATTTCCTTTGAAATATATTAGAAATGGTATTAAAAATTATTCTGATCCTAGAGTATAAATTGCTTACTAAAGCTAAAATAAAAATTACAGTATACATATTCTATTAATGTACTTGGGGAGTTTTTTTGTTTGGTTGGTTTGTTTTAAATTAAGATTGTATATCAAAGAATGGGAGCTGTAGGAGATAACATAATGGACCATTTCTTTGACTCAGATATGTCTCAGTAAATATTTTCTGGAAAAGAATGGATACCTAGATAGAAATCACTTCTTTTTCTTTCAGCTTTAAGAAAGGATGAGTGAATATAATTAATTCAGTAGTACAAGTTACATCAGGAAAGAGTAAATGACAAAAAATTTAATTGTCTCTAAGTCTTTCCCTGTTTTTTTTTGTACTGTTCCTTAATGTGAAGTAATAAACACTAGAAATTGATTTTAAAAACAGTATACTATTTAACATATAATTCTGTATTTATTCTAATTTATGGAAAACTAAATATAAGCAGCAAAGTAACCTTTTTTTCCTGAAAATATTACATCTCTGACTTGTTAAACCAAGTGACCATTTAAGGCTGTCAGACAGACTTTCAGAAAGTGAACATAGCTTAGCAGATCTCATCAGGTGTCTAACATTTGAAGAATGTAAAATAGCATTTGTTAAATTTCCTTCACCACAATGAGGAAAATTATGAGTCTAGGCAATAAGGGTAGAAATAAGGAAGAATAAGATTCTTCTAATCTAAGAAAGCATAAGAGTCTGCAGATAGAAACCTACAACAAAAAAAACATTTTTTGGTTTTTTGTTGTTGTTGTTGTTGTTGTTTATCCAATTCTCTAACTCCAAGCGAGTTAGCTTAGTTGGTTTGAGTAAATTTTCAGCTTAATCTAGGTCATTTTAAACTGATCAATGGACAAAAATATCTATTCTTGGTAAACAAAGGGACTCAGCATTAGAAAGTGGAAAGTTCACTACTCTGGATCAGGGAACTTAAACATGCTCCACAATGACTCTTCTATATTAAAATAAATACTGTTTTTTGTTGTTGTTGACTAATGTATTGTGTGACATTTACACTTATAAAAAGTTAACTTTTCTGAATAAATGATATGCTTATAGGTAAAATGGTTACCTGGTACCTTCTTACAAGTCATTTTTTTCTTTTTAGAAATTAATGTTATTTGTAACTGAAAAATTATAATTGTATACATTTATGGAGTATAATTCATTACATGTATATAATGTGAAGTTATTAAATCAAGTTGATTAACATAACCTGTTATTAAGTATAATGTGTTTTATGTAAGCCTCATGTAATGACAAAGCAAAGACCTATGGCAGTTATACAATCATGAAAAAGAAAGGATTCAAAGCATATCCCTAGGAAATAATGTCACATCACAAAGGAAAGCTACAAGAAAGGAAGAAAGAAGCCAAACATCTGCAAAACAATCAGAAAACAAATTATAAAACGGCAATAGAAAATGCTTACAAATTATAATTACCATGAATGCAAATTGATTTCAATCTAAAAACGTATAGTGGCTGAATGAGTTTTTTTAAAAGGCCCTACTATATATTGTTTATCAAAGACTCACTTTACTAGTAAGGATATACACCGATTGAAAGTGAAGAAGTAGAAATAACATGCAATTTAAATGAAAATCAAAAAGAGCAGGAATGACTACAATTATATCAGACAAGATGTTTTATTGTTTTTAAGAATATTATCTTCTGATTTCTTCCTCTTCTCATATTTAATATTTGCTCTTACATTGTTAAGTTTGAGCTCCTTCTTTTTCATATTCACCTCATTTTGCCCTTTCTCAATTTTTGGTTTTGCTTTAATGATACCAACATTTACAGTTTTATACCTATCCTGCTGCATTGACCTTACAAAGCCTCCTGTATCTATCTGTTCCTCTGGAGATCAAATTGTCAATTGTAGCTGCAGTTTACAATGCATTTATTTAAAAAAAAATTGACCAACAGAAGCTCTCCTTTAGTAATTACTTTCTTATTTCAATTTTTTCTATTATGTTTCCTAACACTTAACTGAAATCTAAATGATTGCGATAGTTATGTCTAAAAATCAATAGTTTGAAACCACTTTTCCCTCATTGAAGATTATGATTTTAGCAAGAATATATTGTTGTTTTTAGAGGTATATAAACCTGTCTTGTGTATTCCATACTCCTTGAGTAGTTCTAGATATAAACTTAAATGGCATACCAAGCAACCAACTTTATAAAAACTTGTTAAATAAAAATACAGTGTCTGTGTAACCAGAAAGAATATTTGAATTTTATTTTCAATCTAATTCACTTATCCTTATTTTACCAATCTTCCCTTTGGGTACCACAAAGTCTCCATATTATTTTCAAATGCTATTTGTTGTAGGATATAATTTATTTTGCTTAAAAAAAATCTGTTTCAATTTCTTTTAGAAAAAGAAGTATTCAACTTCTCTTCAACTAAGGTATCATCCTTCTGCTAAACAGGGTTTAAATTGTGACCTCAACTTTAAGATGTGATTGAGAAATAGTAGCTGAAAGTAAAACTGCTGTATTTTACCCTTATATGAAAAAGGCCCAAACATTTTACTCTACTTGGATGAATTATAATGGTAAAAAATGTATGAAAATAGCATCAGTTCTTAAAAATTCATTCTCAGTAAATCATTTTAAAACATTTCCAAATAATTTAACAAACAAATGTGCAATTGCATGCTGAGAAATGTGTTCTGAAGAAAATGGTGATGGTGCTGAGACATTTCTTTATAAATCTTCATTCATTCTGAGAGTGGAAGTTAGGAACACCATCTCTAAACATCAGTACTGGTGCTGAATTTAGAGAGGGGGGTTATGATTTTAAGAAAGCTATCCAAATTACATTTCCTTACACAAAAAGCATATACATAACTTTTAAAAGAATTTGTAACACAAATGCTAGTAAGGCCAGTAAGGAAAGCTAAACAAACAAAAAATAGGAAAATATCATGCTTTCCAGTACTCTTTCAGGGGCAAGTGTGAGAATACAATTCCAGTAAGGCTGAAGGAGGCAATAGAATGTTAATGGTTGGGATCAGATTTTTTACTGATTTATTTTTTTATTTTATTTTTTTGAGACTGAGTCTCATTTTGTCTCCCAGGCTGGAGTGCAGTGGCATGATCTCAGCTCACTGCAACCTCTGCCTTCCGAGTTCAAAAGATTCTCCTGCCTCAGCGTCCCAAGTAGCTGGAATTACAGACGTCTTCCACCAACCCAGCCAATTTTTTTGTATTTTTAGTAGAAACAGGGTTTCACCGGGTTGGCCAGGCTGGCCTTGAACTCCTGACCTCAAGTGATTCACCCATCACAGCCTTTCAAATTGCTGGGATTGCAGGTGTGAGCCACTGCACCCAGCCTATTTTTTTTTTTAAATTTCATCTTTTATTTTAGGTTTAGTGTGTACATGTACAGGTTTGTTAACTGGTATATTGAGTGATGCTGAGGTTTTGGTTACAAATGATGCTGTCGCCCAGATAGTGAGCATAGTACCCAATACATTGTTTTTCAACCTTCACCCAGTTTCTTCCTTCCTCCCCTTTGTAGTCTCCTTTGTTCCCATCTTTATGTCCATATGTCCTAAGTTTTTAGATCAATATTTATACTCAGACTGCTAATATTTGTGTCTGCCTCCTCTTGTGACATCCTGAAGTAGTTGCTTATTGTATTATACCCAGTGATTCACTACCCAGATCTTTCTTCAGTGAAAGGCTTGATGTTTCAACTATGGAGAGTACTACAGGTCCCAGACTCCAATTGCCTCTTCTGAAAAATTCTGTCTCATCTAAAGTCACACCCTCTTCCCAAGATGGCTCACATCTAAGAACCAGTCAAGTGGGCTACACAGAAACAATTTGGTGTTCCAATGGAACATCTTTGAAATACTATGATAGCCCAAGGGCTCGCAGAGGGATTTTTTTGTTTGTTTGTGTTTTGAGATAGAACCTTGCTTTGCTGCCAGGCTGGAGTGTCATCTCAGATCACTGCAACCTCTGCCTCCTGGGTTTAAGCGATTCTTGTCCCTCAGCCTCCTGAGTAGCTGGCACTGCAGGCATGCATCACCACGCCCAGCTAATTTTCATGTTTTTAGTAGAGACTGAGTTTTACCATTTTGGCCAGGGAGGTCTTGATCTCTTGACCCCACGATCCACTCACCTCGGTTTCCCAAAGTACTGGGATTACAAACGTGTGCCACTGCGAGGTTCTTGCAAGACCGTAGGCCTGCACTGCTGCTCAACTTCCCTCTCTTCCCACCCCTGCTTCCTCTTCTTCCCTCCTGTAGTTGTTGGTCTCAGGAGCACTCCTTAATAACACCCTGCCTGCTAAACTTCCTATTAGAGTCTGCTTTCTGGCAAATCCAATCTGTAACTCATACTCTCTGACCTTCTAATTTCTTAACTATGAAAAGCGAATGATAGAATATTTTTTTACCAGATTGTTATAAAATTTTATTGGCAATTGTTAGAGAATGTCCTCAATTTGGTGGCTTATACATAGTAAGTGGTCTCTAAATTTTACCTACGTAGATGATGGTTATGAGTGAGAAAGAGAAAATAGGATGAACAAGTATGGTTTGAATTCAGGATTTTCAATGACATCATCACATTTTATTGCTTTCTTGCGCTTTCCATTTATATATTTCTCATGAGCGACTACATTTTCTGTTAGCTTTGTTTTTTTGCTTCCTGCACATATACCCTCTAGCAACATTCATGTGGAGAAGAGAAAACTAGAAGTGACCTGAATGACAAAACAAATCTCTTCTCTCCTCCTTCTTCAGAAGGTGTACATTTTAGTCAGTTCCTTTTGTGCAATGCCCTCTACTAAACTCTCGACCTTTGAAAAACTCCGCTTTCGTGAGTTTTAGTAATTTTTACTTACAAATGTATTTGGTTTGTTTCAAATTCTGTGAAAGTGGCTTGATTAAAAGACTCCTTTTAAATAGAAGTCACCAGTCAGCAGAATGGAAGCTGAGAGGAAGTTCCCTGTGAGTGCTGGTCTTTGCATTTGGCTCCAAGTATGTAATGATACTTGCTTTGAAATTTTTTGCTTTGTTTTGAGGGAAATGTCTTGGAGTACATTTTAAGTTCTTGAAGCTAATTTGGTTTAGAGGAATTTTATTTTAAAAAATAGAATCATTCTCAACTCTCGAATGATTCCTTATAAACTTTCTGAAAATGAAAACAATTAGTTACATGAAAATAATATCCAATGATGAAAAAACAGAAATTATTATATGAAAGCAGTGATTAAATCTTTAAAACAGAATTGATCATGCACAAATAATAAGTTTTTTTCTCTTAAACTGGAATAAATCTACATCAGTTAGAAATAATGTAGCCTAAAAATGTAAATTTGAAGGTTTTTTTTGACAATAGTTTATAGCAAATATATGAACCAAAGTGATTTGAGTTGTAAAAATGTAAAACTGGGTTGGGTGCGGTGGCTCACACCTGTAATCACAGTGCTTTGGGAGACGAGGGTGGGCAGATCGCCAGGTCAACAGATTGAGACCACCTTCGTCAACATGGTGGAGCCCCATCTCTACTAAAATACAAAAAATTAGCTGGGCATAGTGGTGCATGCCTGTAGTCCCAACTTCTTGGGAGGCTGAGGCAGGGGAATCCCTTGAACCCAGGAGGTGGGGATTGCAGTGAGCCAAGATTGTGCCACTGCACTCCAGCTTGGTGACAGAGTGAGACTCTGCCTCAAAAAAAAAAGTAAAATTGTATGAACAAAATTTTCACTAAAACTACCAGATTTTAACATCTAGTGAGATTCACATTCATACTAAGTTTTTAGCTTCATGTTATTTTCGCATTCATTTTTTATTTTTATTAAAGGTTCAAAACCAAAAGAAAAAAAGTTTGATTTAAGGCCTGGCATAGATTACATAATGCTACTTATCACTCGGTAACTTCTATCCACCCTCCAGCCCAAATCTATCTGTATTATTTACAGTAATCAAAATTTTACTGAGAGGTAAAACTTTGCTCCCTATTGAAATGCTCAACTTCTAGGAAGAATTACATCTTTACACAGTTTAAAAAACAAATGAAACTTCATTTTAACTCAGATCTTTTCCTGAGAAGAAACACTAACAGGGAGAGAGCAAAGACAAAAGAAATGATGAGCAATAGAGAAGAGGGCTAGAAATTGATGACAGAAAAAAATGAGAAGCTTAAAACTCTTAAAGAGGCATGCCTTCTATTTTCATCAGAGTCAATGCAGGTAGTTGGGATGCATATGTCTTTCCTTGGTGTTGAAATCAAAACTGATATTAGCATTACATAGTACAGTAACATGCTAATGTACTTCACTGCCCTATCTGTTGGCTATTTGGAAAACAGTCAATAAAATAACGTTAGAAAATTGTAAAAAATAAACAGAAAAGTATTAACAGCCCTTTCCCTCTCTTTATGTACTGCAGGAGAACTCAGGGACCATAAACTGACTCCTCTCATCAAGCCAAAAACCCAGAGAACTTCATCCTGTTGCAGGATGAGCACTTCCTGTAGACACTGACAGATTTGCAGAGCATGAAAGCATAGTTTTTGGTCATAGGAAGTCAAATTTGTTTGAATAAACTCTCTTTTCAAAAATAAAAATTTCTAACTTGCAAACTATTTTGATCTTGGACTATGGCGCTTTGGCTTTCCGCCTAGGTAAATAATGGAATTTAGCTAGCCTGGCAGAAGAGAAAGCTCTTATTCCATTTACACTCTTGTCTGAGCAACCTCAGCTTTTTATGTTTGCCTCTTGTCTCAATGTTCAGTCTAGCTAGATAGATATGTCTGCTTTTCTTCTTTTTAAATTTATCTCTTTTTTATTTTTAATTTTAAAAGCTGTTAAAT